GGAGGTCCCCGGCCCGCCCCCAGGCTGCCCAGGCCCCGCCCCAGGCTGCCCAGGCCCCGCCCACCAAACTACCCAGGCCCCGCCCCCAGGCTGCCCAGGCCCCGCCCCAGGCTGCCCAGGCCCCGCCCCAGGCTGCCCAGGCCCCGCCCACCAAACTACCCAGGCACCGCCCCCAGACTGCCCAGGCACCGCCCACAAGGCTGCCCCAGGCCCCGCCCACCAAGCTGCCCGGGCCCCGCCCTCCTGGCTGCCCAGGCACCGCCCACCTGGCTGCCCAGGCCCCGCCCACCTGGCCCGTGCGCGCTGCCCCGCGGCCCCACATCGCATCCCTCCCCCCCTGCCCGTCACTCTCTAGTCCCTCTGCCCTGCCTCTTGCCCCACGGCCCACATACCCCAGTGAGGGCTGCGCCCTGGAGTCCTTCACCACGCCTTTGCCCTCTGTGCCCGACATTCTGCTTCCAGATGAGCGGCGCCTGCCCCTGCCCCCCTCACACGGCTCTGCCAGCTGCCGGTCCTCCTCGAAGGCGCTGGCCACACGGGGCCTGGCAGTGGAGCGGCCCCTGGGCAACCTGACAGCACTGCCGGGCCGGTCCGGCTGCCGCCCGTCCACACGCCCACACTTCCCGCTGACTGCCCTCCTCCCGCCCGCCCGGCCCCGCCGGCTCTGGAACAGGTCTGGAAATTGCCTGACAAACAGGGAGATCTGGGAGGAGGTGGAAATCACTGGGTGGAATGTCAGCGGGGCCACCGCAGCCAATGGTGCCTCCCCGCGCAGCCCTCAGCCAGCAGACTCCAGAGCCCGTCCAGGTGCCTGCAGAGTCCTCATGCCCGCCCCCCCCCCCTGCACCTGCACCACAGCGCCCTCCTCTGCCCTCCCCACAGACAGCCCGACACCACAGCGCCCTCCTCTGCCCTCCCCACAGAGCCTGACACCACAGCGCCCTCCTCTGCCCTCCCCACAGACAGCCCGACACCACAGCGCCCTCCTCTGCCCTCCCCACAGACAGCCCGACACCACGGCGCCCTCCTCTGCCCTCCCCACAGACAGCCTGACACCAGGGCGCCCTCCTCTGCCCTCCCCACAGACAGCCTGACACCACAGCGCCCTCCTCTGCCCTCCCCACAGACAGCCTGACACCACGGCGCCCTCCTCTGCCCTCCCCACAGACAGCCCGACACCACAGCGCCCTCCTCTGCCCTCCCCACAGACAGCCCGACACCACAGCGCCCTCCTCTGCCCTCCCCACAGACAGCCCGACACCACAGCGCCCTCCTCTGCCCTCCCCACAGACAGCCCGACACCACGGTGCCCTCCCCACAGACAGCCTGACACCACGGCGCCCTCCTCTGCCCTCTGACCGCCAGGCAGCTGTGGCCGCAGAGTGCTGCCTCCTTCCTTTGTCCCTTTGTTCTCCGACCAGTCCCTTTCACCCAGCACATCACACCTGCCTTTCTCGAAAGATCACACAGCAGCCCTGGCCGGTGTGGCTCAGGTTGGAGCATCCATCCTGTGCACCCAAGGGTGGCGTGCCAGAGCCAATTCCAGCATGTCAGCAGGGCTGGATCATCTGGGACGGTTAAAAAGCATCTCCCCCAAACCTGAATAGGAATTTCCCCAAACCTAAAGATTTGTATATATTGTTTGCTGCCAGAAAGCTCACGCATCTTAAATCTGCGTGTTATTGCCTCCTGTTGGCCAAACACCCCAAACTGACAATGCTTCTGTACCCTAGCCTTTGAAGCCCTACCCTTTGAAGTGTATTATCTCCACCTTGCCTTAGGACAAATTGTGTTAATAAATAGCACAGGGTCCTTAGACAAGAGGTAGTCTTTTATCTCCTTTGGCTGAAGACCCTCTGGCCCCCAATGCCTTTCAAAATTACCTTTCGTCTTTGGACTCCTTCCTAATCTGTGCATCAGCTCCTTTCTCCAGATTGCTGAATCCTTATTAATGCTGGGACAAGAATCCCAGCAGTGGAGAGTTACTGGTCTGGGCACATGCCTAGGTTTTGAGTTTGGTTCCTGGTTAGTCAATCTATGCTTATCGCTTCTGTTGATGTTTCTGTTTCTCTCTTTCTCTCTCTCAAAAATAAAAAAAATTACATGGCAGACTAAAAGGGCACAAAACAATGTAAAGAGACTGAACAAGGGTCAGAACCAGAATTGGATGAGGATCATATGAGCGGAGAGATGGGAATCTTGAGAAAGAATAAAAAAGAAATGTAAGACATAAAGATTAAGGAGCTCCTTGCTCAAACTTGACGTGGCTGGCTTCATTCAGGGTCTGACAACAGAAACTTCCTAAAATGAAGAGCAAAGACATGGAGACTCACAGCAGAACAAAACAAAACAAAACAAACAGACCAGAATACCCAAGAATGTGGGAAGCCACCAGACGTGGGACATGTGCTGAAGCAACAGTGACTGAGAATATTGGAGAACTTTACTTTGAAGCCAGGATAAACAGGACAGTTGGTACTGGTGGAGGAACAAACAACCTGTGTTTAAAACGGGCCGAAGGTCTCAGCAGGTATCTCACCAAACAAGATGCACAGATGGTAAATAAACATACGAAAAGATGCTCCACATCATATGTCATCTGGGGATTACAAATTAAAACAACAACCAGACACCACTGCGTACCTACTAGAACAGCCAAGATCCAGAACGCCGACACCATCAGAGGCTGGTGGGATTGTGGAGGCATGGGAACCCTCCTTCATTGGGGGCGGAGGTGGCGGGTGGGGAAGGGGGAGAGAGAGGAGTTTTCATCTCCCTGTTTAAGCAGAGAAGCCAGCGGTCTCAGGCCTTGTTGAGATAAAATTGCCAGATGCTTCTCGTAAATTCTGGGAAAGCCATAACAAAGAAAAAGGGAAACCTTCAGGGTTAATCTGAGCCGAGACATTTGGCAAAGGAATTTTTAAAAATGTAAACCTGTGGACAGGAGGGTCTATAACCCCCGAGTCCCCGCAGCCCTGGCTTCTTGGGCTCGCCGAGCAGCCCGTCTGTGCTCTAGGCCGGCTGTAGTCTAACACATTTTCTTGCCTTGCTTCTTTTTTTCTTTTTAATATATTTCAATATATATATATATATTTTATTGATTTTGTACAGAGAGGAAGGGAGAGAGATAGAGAGTTAGAAACATCGATGAGAGAGAGTCATCGATCAGCTGCCTCTTGCACACCCCCTACTGGGGATGTGCCCACAACCAAGGTACATGCCCTTGACCAGAATCAAACCCTGGACCCTTCAGTCCCCAAGCCGACGCTCTATCCATTGAGCCAAACTGGTCCCGGCTTGCCTTGCTTCTTTACTAAATGTCCCTGCTTTAAGAAGTTGGCTTTACTACCATGCAGTGGTCTGGAGTCACTCATTTGGATTCCTTCCCATGAGATTGATAAGAACCGCCCTCTTCCTTCAGCTCAGAGAGTCCGACCACACGTGCTGTCTGTGAGGTGCCTGGAACAGGTGCAGTTTACTGAGCCTCCCTGGGCACGACATCCAGGCCTCACACAGCCGACCTGGCACAGGTAAAGCGCACGTAACATACACTGAGCGGCCAGATGATGATGGTCTCTGAACGCAGAATCATCTGGCCACTCAGTGTGTATCCTATAGAATAAAAGGCTAATATGCAGATTGTCCCCTCAACCAGGAATTCGACCAGCAGGCAGGCCAGCCAACCGCCCATGTCCCCTCCCCCTGGTCGGGCTGGCCGGACCATGCTCTGGGCCTCTAATTTATACACTAGAGTGGCCAGACTAGTATGCGTCCCCGCCAGAGGGACCCACTCACTCCGCAGACGCCCTTCGAGGTCCAGCGCCACCCCAGCTGCGGCCGGCTGGGAGGGACGGCGGAAGGTTGGCTCCAGGGCATGTCCAGCCCGTCTCGCCCGGTCCTGCCCCTCTGGCCACCTTCTAATCAATTTCCTTTCCATGTGCATGAACCCATCGGAGAACGAAGGGACAAAGGAAGGAGGCAGCACTCTGTGGCCACAGCTGCCTGACTGGCCAGGTGCTCTGTGGGGAGTGAGAGGAGGGCGCCCTGGTGTCAGGCTGTCTGTGGGGAGTGAGAGGAGGGCGCCCTGGTGTCAGGCTGTCTGTGGGGAGTGAGAGGAGGGCGCCCTGGTGTCAGGCTGTCTATGGGGAGTGAGAGGAGGGCGCCGTGGTGTCGGGCTGTCTGTGGGGAGTGAGAGGAGGGCGCCGTGGTGTCAGGCTGTCTGTGGGGAGTGAGAGGAGGGCGCCCTGGTGTCAGGCTGTCTGTGGGGAGTGAGAGGAGGGCGCCGTGGTGTCGGGCTGTCTGTGGGGAGTGAGAGGAGGGCGCCCTGGTGTCAGGCTGTCTGTGGGGAGTGAGAGGAGGGCGCCCTGGTGTCAGGCTGTCTGTGGGGAGGGCAGAGGAGGGCGCCGTGGTGTCGGGCTGTCTGTGGGGAGGGCAGAGGAGGGCGCCCTGGTGTCGGGCTGTCTGTGGGGAGGGCAGAGGAGGGCGCCGTGGTGTCAGGCTGTCTGTGGGGAGGGCAGAGGAGGGCGCCCTGGTGTCAGGCTGTCTGTGGGGAGGGCAGAGGAGGGCGCCGTGGTGTCAGGCTGTCTGTGGGGAGGGCAGAGGAGGGCGCTGTGGTGCAGGTGCAGGGGGGGGGGGCGGGCATGAGGACTCTGCAGGCACCTGGACGGGCTCTGGAGTCTGCTGGCTGAGGGCTGCGCGGGGAGGCACCATTGGCTGCGGTGGCCCCGCTGACATTCCACCCAGTGATTTCCACCTCCTCCCAGATCTCCCTGTTTGTCAGGTAATTTCCAGACCTGTTCCAGAGCCGGCGGGGCGGGGCGGGCGGGAGGAGGGCAGTCAGCGGGAAGTGTGGGCGTGTGGACGGGCGGCAGCCGGCCCGGCCCGGCAGTGCTGTCAGGTTGCCCAGGGGCCGCTCCACTGCCAGGCCCCGTGTGGCCAGCGCCTTCGAGGAGGACCGGCAGCTGGCAGAGCCGTGTGAGGGGGGCAGGGGCAGGCGCCACTCATCTGGAAGCAGAATGTCGGGCACAGAGGGCAAAGGCGTGGTGAAGGACTCCAGGGCGCAGCCCTCACTGGGGTATGTCGGCCGTGGGGCAAGGGGCAGGGCAGAGGGGCCAGCGGGGACGGACCGGGCGGGATGGGCTGGACAGGCCCTGGGGGGCAGGGATGAGATGTGGGGCCGCCGAGCAGCGCCAAGGGCCAGGGCCTGGCTCCTCGCAGGGTGGGTGCCGCCCGCCCTGGTTGTCACTGTCCTGCATGGAGCCCCTGGGGAGCCTCAGAGGAAGCCGGGGTGGGGAGGAGGCAGGGGTAACAGGGCAGGCAGGGGTCCCCAGGGCTGGGCCTGGTGGAGAGGAGAGGCCAGACCTGAGTCTGGCTTTAGGCTCCACAGTGAGACTGTCTCTGGGTCGGAGATGTTGCCTTCTCGCCACAGACGATGCAGAAGCTGCCGGAGTGCGGAGGAGGATAAATAGCTTGGGCGCAGGCCGGCGCAGGTGGCCGTGCTGTGGGCGGGGTGTCGCCATATCCTGGCTGTGGGGAGGGCAGCTCAGGTCGGCTCTGGATCCTTAGAATGCGTGACGGTGAGACCGGGAGGCCCAGTGCGCTGAGGCACACCGCCCCTCAGCGCCAGCGGCCAGCTCTGCCCCCTCCCGGGCTGCAGTCCGCCCATCGCCCACGGAATAGATTCCGACTCCCTCGTGAAGTCTGGCTGCGTCTCGTTCTCAAGATCTGCCCTCACAGGGCCCCGGCACCCAGGGTCTCCGCACCCAGGGCCCCGGCACCCAGGGCCTCCGCACACAGGGCCTCCGCACACACAGGGCCTCCGCACACAGGGCCTCCCTCCGCACACACAGGGCCTCCGCACACAGGGCCTCCGCACACACAGGGCCTCCGCACACAGGGCCTCCCTCCGCACACGCAGGGCCTCCGCACACACAGGGCCTCCCTCCGCACACACAGGGCCTCCGCACACAGGGCCCCCGCACCCAGGGCCTCCGCACCCAGGGCCTCCGCACCCAGGGCCTCCGCACCCAGGGCCTCCCTCCTCACACACAGGGCCTCCGCACACACAGGGCCTCCGCACACACAGGGCCTCCCTCCGCACACACAGGGCCTCCGCACACAGGGCCTCCGCACCCAGGGCCTCCGCACCCAGGGCCTCCGCACACACAGGGCCTCCCTCCTCACACACAGGGCCTCCGCACACACAGGGCCTCCGCACACAGGGCCTCCCTCCTCACACACAGGGCCTCCGCACACACAGGGCCTCCCTCCGCACACACAGGGCCTCCGCACACAGGGCCTCCCTCCGCACACACAGGGCCTCCGCACACACAGGGCCTCCCTCCGCACACACAGGGCCTCCGCACACAGGGCCTCCGCACCCAGGGCCTCCGCACACACAGGGCCTCCGCACACCCAGGGCCCCGGCACCCAGGGCCTCCGCACACACAGGGCCCCCGCACACACAGGGCCTCCGCACACAGGGCCTCCCTCCGCACACACAGGGCCCCCCGCACACACAGGGCCTCCGCACACAGGGCCTCCGCACACACAGGGCCTCCGCACACAGGGCCTCCGCACCCAGGGCCTCCGCACCCAGGGCCCCCGCACACACAGGGCCTCCGCACCCAGGGCCCCCGCACACACAGGGCCTCCGCACACACAGGGCCTCCGCACCCAGGGCCTCCGCACACACAGGGCCCCGGCACCCAGGGCCTCCGCACACACAGGGCCTCCGCACCCAGGGCCTCCGCACACACAGGGCCTCCACACACAGGGCCTCCGCACACAGGGCCTCCGCACACACAGGGCCTCCACACACAGGGCCCCGGCACCCAGGGCCTCCGCACACACAGGGCCTCCCTCCGCACACACAGGGCCTCCGCACACACAGGGCCTCCGCACCCAGGGCCTCCGCACACACAGGGCCCCGGCACCCAGGGCCTCCGCACACACAGGGCCCCGGCACCCAGGGCCTCCGCACACACAGGGCCTCCGCACCCAGGGCCTCCGCACACACAGGGCCTCCGCACACACAGGGCCTCCGCACACACAGGGCCTCCGCACCCAGGGCCTCCGCACACACAGGGCCTCCGCACCCAGGGCCTCCGCACACACAGGGCCTCCGCACACAGGGCCTCCGCACACACAGGGCCTCCGCACACAGGGCCTCCGCACGCGCTGGGCCCTCTGTTGGGAGCCCCCCTGCCCCCCCGCCCCCCACAGGAAGTCAGAGTCTCCGGCCGGCCTCCCACAGAGCCTGCAGCGCCCTGTTCCTATCCGTGAGGCTGTTGAATTCCTTGTCAGCGTTGTCCCACGTCTAGACTGGGTTTCCTGCCCCAGGCGTTCCCGGTGTGCACAGGGGGCCCTGCCTCACCTGGGAAATGACAGCTGAGCGGGGCTGGGGTCCTGGGATGGGCGTCACACAGAGACAGAGACACACAGAGAAACAGACACAGAGAGACACACACACACACAGAGACAGAGACACACAGAGAAACAGACACAGAGAGACACACACACACACAGACAGAGACACACATAGAGACACAGAGAGACACACACACAGAAACAGACACAGACACACACACACACACAGAGACAGAGACACACATAGAGACACAGAGAGAGACACACACAGAAACAGACACAGAGACACACACACACATAGAGACAGAGACACAGAAAGAGACACACACAGAAACAGACACAGAGATACACACACACATAGAGACAGAGACACACATAGAGACACAGACAGAGACACACAGAGAAACAGACACAGAGAGACACACACACACACAGACAGAGACACACATAGAGACACAGAGAGACACACACACAGAAACAGACACAGACACACACACACACACAGAGACAGAGACACACATAGAGACACAGAGAGAGACACACACAGAAACAGACACAGAGATACACACACACATAGAGACAGAGACACAGAGAGAGACACACACAGAAACAGACAGAGACAGACACACACACACACAGATACACATAGAGACACAGAGAGAGACAGACACACACACAGAGACACACAGAGACCCACACACAGATAGAGACACACAGAGATGGAGACACGCACAGAGATGGAGACACACACACAGAGACAGAGACAGAGACACGGAGTCTCCCCTCTGCCACAGGGAAAGCTGGCCCGGGAGGCAGAGCCCAGAGGCTGGGTCAGGCCCGGGGGGCCCTCTCCCCGGTTTGGCTTGCGTCTGGGGTTCTGGGCGGAAGGAGGCGGGGAGGCAGGCGGGGGGCTGTGCTGGCGGGTGCAGGCCACCCGCCCTCGGGGTCACAGGGGAGTCCAGCAGGATGTCTGGGAGCCCATGTGGGGCGGCAGAGGCAGGGTGGTGCTGAGAAGGCGGGGACTCCTGCCCACGCGCTCCGCTGCCTCCGCCCGGCAGGACGGACCCCTTCGAGGACACACTGCAGCGGCTGCGGGAGGCCTTCGGCGCGGGGCGCACACGGCCGGCCGAGTTCCGGGCGGCGCAGCTCCGGGGCCTGGGCCGCTTCCTGCGGGAGCACAAGCAGCGGCTGCAGGAGGCGCTGCTGCAGGACCTGCGCAAGGTGAGGGCGGGGCGGGCGGGGGCGGGCCGTCCAGGTCAGTCCTGTCCACGCCCAGGCCCTCCCCGGCCCGCGTGCTCACGCACTCTCAGCACTGACTCCTGGAAGGGCAGGGGGGTGGCTGCTCCACCGCCGACGGGGAAACGGGCTGGGGGGGGTGTAAGTCCCCCCGGCCCCCAGCGGGAGGAGGCGGAGCTGGGACCGGGCCCCCTCCCTGTGCAGGGCCCGGGGGACCCGCAGTGCTGTCCCCGGACCCTGGCTCCTTGCCCCTGGTGGGGCCCTCTGGGGACCCCTCACACTAGATCCCTTCCCGGCCCGCCCGCCCTGACCCCTGCGCTCCGCCCCGCAGTCGGCTTTCCAGGCGGACTTGTCCGAGCTCATCCTGTGCCAGAAGGAGGTGGAGCTGGCGCTCCGGAACCTGCACGCCTGGATGAGGGACCAGCCGGTGGCCAAGAACCTGGTGAGCTGCTGGCCGGGCCCCCGCGCCGACCCAGGGCGAGGCCCTGACTCCGGGGACCCCCGTGTCCTCATGGGGACGCCACTGCACAGGCACCGCCAGGCCCTGGAAGGGGGGCTGGGGTGTCCTCGGCCGGGCCTCACCGCCCATCTCGCCCCCAGTTGACGCCGCTGAGCTCGGCCTTTGTCCGGAAGGAGCCCTTCGGCCTGGTGCTCATCCTCAGCCCCTGGAACTACCCCGTGAACCTGATCCTGATGCCCCTGGTGGGCGCCATCGTGGCCGGTGAGGCGGGCTCCGAGCCCTCCTGGCCCACTAGCCCTTTCCCCAGGGGAGCCCGGAATCCCACTGTGAGATGCCCTCGCCTGGCACACCCTCCCTGCACCTCTGCTTTCCGATGCCAGCCCCTGGGTGGGGTGGGGCCCCCAGCGCCCCCCTGTGTCTCCCCCGTCTGCCCCTGCAGGGAACTGCGTGGTGCTGAAGCCGTCAGAGATCAGCCAGGCCACGGAGAAGGTCCTGGCCGAGGTGCTGCCGCAGTACCTGGACCAGGTAAGCGTGCCGTACCGCTCCGCCCCGCGCCCGCAGGCCTGCCCCGCCCGCCTGGGAGGCCCGCTGTCCGGGCCCCGTGTCCCCTGAGTGCCGTCCCTCCCGCAGAGCTGCTTTGCCGTGGTGCTGGGCGGCCCCGAGGAGACCGGGCAGCTTCTGAAACACAAGTTTGACTACATCTTCTTCACGGGTGAGGATGGCCCTGGGGCAGGGCGCCCGAGAGCAGGCGGAGCGGGCTGCGGCCACCAGCCAGGCCGCTGGGCCTAGGAGGGCGGGGTCCCGGCAGCATAGCCAGGCGGGTGCCAGGCGGTGTCCGAGCCTCTGGCCGAGGCCCGTGGAGGGTGAGGGTCCATCCCATGTCCTCAGGGAGCCCTCGAGTCGGCAAGATCGTCATGGCCGCGGCCGCCCAGCACCTGACGCCCGTCACGCTGGAGCTGGGGGGCAAGAACCCCTGCTACGTGGACGACGACTGCGACCCCCAGACCGTGGCCAACCGCGTGGCCCTGTTCCGCTACTTCAACGCCGGCCAGACCTGCGTGGCCCCCGACTACGTGCTGTGCAGCCCCGCCATGCAGGAGCGGCTGGTGCCCGCCCTGCAGGCCGCCATCACCCGCTTCTACGGCGAGGACCCCAGGGCCTCCCCGGACCTGGGCCGCATCATCAGCGACAAGCACTTCCAGCGGCTCCGGGGCCTGCTGGGCTGCGGCCGCGTGGCCGTCGGGGGCCAGAGCGAGGAGAGCGACCGCTACATCGGTGAGTCCGCCCTCCCGCCCGGGCCCGGGCGAGGCCCTTCCTGCTGGAGCCACAGCGGGGCCGAGTCCGGGCCCTGAGGTTCCCAGGGCCCCACGGATGGAGCCCAGCCAGGTCCACGGCTGTCGCCACGACTCCCGGACACGAATGCCACGTGTCGCCGTGGTCTGAGCCTGTGACCCCGCGACCCCGCCCAGAGCTGGGCCCAGGTCCAGGCTCCCAAACGCAGACCCCCAGCCTCAGCCCCGGGCTCCTGAGAGCCCGCGGTTCCCGCCTGGGCACCCGCCGGGCTGTCCTTACAGAGCGGCCCGGCCTCTGGGCCACACGGCTCCGTGGTGACGCTGCTGCTCCAGCAGGCTGGGCCTGGGCCCTCGGGCTCCAGGGCTGAGACCCCGTCACCCTGAGACCGTAAGACCGCGCTGGGCCCGGTTCCCGGTCCCCACTCAGGGCCGTGGGGAGACTCTCCCCTAGAACACCCCGAGCCGGAGCCGAGCCGCCCCCTGTGCCCGGGCTGAGCCGCCCCCTGTGCCCGGGCTGAGCCCCCTGTGCCCGGGCTGAGCCGCCCCCTGTGCCCGGGCTGAGCCCCCCCTGTGCCCGGGCTGAGCCCCCTGTGCCCGGGCTGAGCCGCCCCCTGTGCCCGGGCTGAGCCCCATGTGCCTGGGCTGAGCCCCCTGTGCCCGGGCTGAGCCGCCCCCTGTGCCCGGGCTGAGCCCCCTGTGCCCGGGCTGAGCCGCCCCCTGTGCCCGGGCCGAGCCCCCTGTGCCCGGGCTGAGCTGCCCCCTGTGCCCGGGCTGAGCCGCCCCCTGTGCCCGGGCTGAGCCGCCCCCTGTGCCCGGGCCGAGCCCCCTGTGCCCGGGCTGAGCCCCCTGTGCCAGGGCTAAGCCCCCTGTGCCCGGGCTGAGCCGCCTGTGCCCGGGCTGAGCCACCCCCTGTGCCCGGGCTGAGCCACCCCCTGTGCCCGGGCTGAGCCACCCCCTGTGCCCGGGCTGAGCCACCCCCTGTGCCCGGGCTGAGCCCCCTGTGCCCGGGCTGAGCCGCCCCCTGTGCCCGGGCTGAGCCCCCTGTGCTCGGGCTGAGCCCCCTGTGCCCGGGCTGAGCCCCCTGTGCCAGGGCTAAGCCCCCTGTGCCCGGCTGAGCCCCCTGTGCCCGGGCTGAGCTCCCTGTGCCCGGCTGAGCCCCCTGTGCTCGGGCTGAGCCGCCCCCTGTGCCCGGGCTGAGCCCCCTGTGCCCGGGCTGAGCCGCCCCCTGTGCCCGGGCTGAGCCCCCTGTGCCTGGGCTGAGCCCCCTGTGCCCGGGCTGAGCCCCCCGTTTCCGGGCTGAGCCCCCTGTGCCCGGGCTGAGCCCCCTGTGCCCGGGCTGAGCCCCCCGTGCCCGCAGCCCCCACGGTGCTGGTGGACGTGCAGGAGGCGGAGCCGGTGATGCAGGAGGAGATCTTCGGGCCCATCCTGCCCGTCGTGACCGTGAGCAGCCTGGATGAGGCCGTGGACTTCATCAACCGCCGGGAGAAGCCGCTGGCGCTGTACGCCTTCTCCCGGCGCAGCCAGGTGGGCCGGGCGGGGCCGGGGCAGCGGAGGCGCCGAAGGGGTGCAGAGGCCCACCCTCACCCCGTCGCCTGGCGATGGCTCCCGCACAGGGCGCCCGGCAGGGGAGGGCTGGGCACCCAAGCTGCCAGACGGTGCCTCCTGCCAGGCAGCCTCCCTGTGGACGGACGGTTTCTGAGCCTCGCACGCTCTGTGCGGTGGGCAGAGCCGGTGGGGGGCGGAGCTAAGCTGGTCCTCACAGGCAGACCAGGCTGAGAGGCGATGCTGCCCAGGAGGGATGGAGCCGGGGACAGCGGCCGAGCCCCCGTTCCCGGCGATGAGCCCCCCTCTCTGCCCTCGCCGCCCAGGTGGTGAGCCAGGTGCTGGCGCGGACCAGCAGCGGCCACTTCGGAGGCAACGAGGGCTTCCTGTACCAGACGCTGTGGTCCATGCCCATGGGGGGCGTCGGTGAGCCGCCCGGGGATGCCGGGATGGGTGACCCAGGCCCAGAAAAGCCCGGTGTCGCCTTCACTCGCTGTTCATGGCGATCCAAGCCCCGGGCCTCTCGGGGCCTCCGTGTCCCTGTCTGCAGAACGGCCCTCGATGGCCAGGCTTTCCCTGAGCGCCCGGCCCGGGGTGGGCAGGGGGCGGGCAGGGGGCCGCCAGCCTCAGACCCCCCCTCGCGTGCCCGTGCAGGCCACAGCGGGATGGGACGGTACCACGGCAAGTTCTCCTTCGACACCTTCTCCAACCCCCGCGCCTGCCTGCTCTCCCCCGCGGGCCTGGAGAAGCTCAGGGACCTCCAGTACCCGCCCTACTCCGCCACCAAGCAGAAGCTGGTCCGCTGGGCCCTGGCCTCCCCTGGCTGCACGCTGCTGTGAGGCCGGCCTCTCGGCCCCCCAGCCCCGCCCGCCGCTGCGGCCACGTGCTCGGTCCCCGAAAGGCAGCGTCCCCCCAAGAGGCAGAGGCCCTGTCCCCGGGGTCGTGTCTGGACGGTCTCCCCGCGGGACAGGCCCTCTGGGCTCCTCTCTCGGCGCCGAGGGTGGCGGAGCCCTCGCCCCCAGGCTGGGCAGTGGGGGGGGGGGCAGAAGGCACTCGCTTGCCCTGGTGGCGTGGCTCCGCTGGTGGGCATCGTCCCACGCCCCGAAAGGCGTGGCCCGGGTCCCTGGCAGGGCACAGGCTCCGCTGAGGCAGCCAGGCCCTGTCCCTCTCTCACCAGTGTGCCATTCTCTCCCTTCCTCGCTCTCTAACCAATAAAGACATCGCTTTTTTGAGAAAGGGAATCGCTCTCTTATTATTAGGACCTATAATTCGGCTCCCCAAATACAGAGCTATCTCTTTTTTTAAAATACGTTTTTGTTGACTTTTAGCGAGGGACGGAGAGAGATAAACGTCGTCCGTAGGCTGCCTCTGCACGCCCCTTCCTGGGGACGCGACCCCCGCCCGTGGCCTGACCCGGAATCGAACCAGTGGCCTCTTGGCTCGTGAGCTGACACCTGCCGGGCAAAGACAGACTGTTTCTGCGCCTCCCCTCACACTGTGGGGAGCTGGCCTGAGTGGTCCGGCCTGGCCCCTGGGCTGCAGCACCCATCCCGCGCCCTCCTGCTGAGGGCCCCGCCCGAGGGCGTGCACGGCTGACGGGTGACGTCTGCGATCGGCCGGGCAGGGGCTGTGCACGCCGTCCTCGCGCTCTCAGGCTCCCAGGGGACGGTGGGAGCAGGCGGAGTCTGCATCCGGCCGCTTTGTCGGACACACGGGGAGGCTGAGGCCTACACAGGACAGGCTGGCCTGAGTTCCCCCAGCAAAGAGGGCGGAGCGGAGAGAGGGCGGGCGTGAGGAGACGCGTGGGCGAGGGCTCGGTCCACAGCGTGCCTGGTCCGCGGAGACCGGCCCCCTGCCCTCTCCCCGGCCTCCCCCGAGCCCTCCCTCCAGCACCCCCAGCGCCCGTGGCGGGTCCTCCCCCCCTCGGAGCCCTCCCTCCAGCACCCCCAGCGCCCGTGGCGGGTCCTCCCCCCCCCCCGGAGCCCTCCCTCCAGCACCCCCAGCGCCCGTGGCGGGTCCTCCCCCCCCCTCGGAGCCCTCCCTCCAGCACCCCCAGCGCCCGTGGCAGGTCCTCCCCCCTCCCCCCGGAGCCCTCCCTCCAGCACCCCCAGCGCCCGTGGCGGGTCCTCCCCCCGGGGCCCTCCCTCCAGCACCCCCAGCGGCCGTGGCGGGTCCTCCCCCCGAGCCCTCCCTCCAGCACCCCCAGCGCCCGGGGCGGGTCCTCCCCCCGGAGCCCTCCCTCCAGCACCCCCAGCGGCCGGGGCGGGTCCTCGCCCGGGGCCCTCCCTCCAGCACCCCCAGCGCCCGTGGCGGGTCCTCCCCTCCCCCCCCCGAGCCCTCCCTCCAGCACCCCCGGCGCCCGGGGCGGGGTCTCGGGGCCTGAGACTGAGGGAATCAGGAGCAGGATCTCCCCGGGGAATGGTCGGGAGGGCGGTCTCCACAAGCGGACAGGGTGGCCTCAGAGGAGGTGCTCCCAGGGGCTTGTTGGTGAGGGAAGGAGAGAATGGAAGAGGAAGCGAAGGGACGAATGGATGGAAGGACGGGGGGGCGGGTGGGGGGTGGAAGGCAGGCGAGTGGGTGGATGAGAGGATGGACAGTTGGTTGGGTGGATGGATAAACGATGGGTGTGAGGGAGGCCCAGAGAGAAGCTGAGGGACCGCTGGCCTGAGATGCCGTCCTCCCGCCTCTGCCTTGGGAAGCTGCTTCCTCAGACTGACCATTGGACTGAAGAGAGAGAGCCGGGGCGTGTGTGTGTGTGTGTGTGTGTGTGTGTGTGTGTGTGCCTGGTGTGTGTGTGTGCCTGGTGTGTGTGTGTGCCTGGTGTGTGTGTGTGCCTGGTGTGTGTGTGCGCCTGGTGTGTGTGTGTGCGTGTGTGTGTGTGTGTGTGTGCCTGGTGTGTGTGTGTGTGCCTGGTGTGTGTGTGTGTGTGCCTGGTGTGTGTGTGTGTGTGTGTGTGTGCCTGGTGTGTGTGTGTGTGTGTGTGTGTGCCTGGTGTGTGTGTGTGTGTGTGTGTGTGCCTGGTGTGTGTGTGTGTGTGTGTGTGTGTGTGTGTGCCTGGTGTGTGTGTGTGTGGGGGGGGGATAACTGAGGGTGTCCACGCCCAGTCTGGGCAGGGAGCCCAGGGAGCAAAGAACAGAAGACGCTGCTCGTCGAAGACTGGACATTCGCCGCCCTCGCCAGCTCAGCGCCTTCCCTCTGCCCTCGTGGCCGTCGCTGCTGAGGGTCAGATGGGGGCAGTGGCTCTGGGGCCCCTGGAGGTGGGGGGGGTGGGGGGGCAGTCCCGGTGGCCGGCTCTGGTGGCCTCCCATTGGCAGAGCAGTCACATGACTGCATCCTGGCCGCCAGGGAGGCCGAGGGCAGGAGCAGCCGGGAGGTGTTCCAGGGGCCACAACGGTGACAGGTCAGGGCCCTCCTCACTCCGCCCTCCCCCTCCCAGCCCCGTCCTCTCGCCGTCCCGCGGGCCAGGCTCCGCCCACTCCCTCTGAAAATCCACGGGAAACCCCTCAGGGGAGGGTTAACAACAACAAGAATAGGAACTCCTGTCAGGGCAGGGCAGCGCTGACCCTCCAGAAAAGGTGCCGGGGCGGGCGCCGGGGGCAGGTGGGGGCGGAGGGGCAGGTGGGGGTGGAGGGCAGGTGGGGGCGGAGGGCAGGTGGAGGCGGAGGGCAGGTGGAGGCGGAGGGCAGGTGGAGGCGGAGGGCAGGTGGGGGCGGAGGGCAGGTGGCACCGGAGGGCAGGTGGAGGTGGAGGGCAGGTGGAGGTGGAGGGCAGGTGGTGGTGGAGGGCAGGTGGAGGCGGAGGGCAGGTGGAGGCGGAGGGCAGGTGGAGGCGGAGGGCAGGTGGAGGCGGAGGGGCAGTAGAGGCGGAGGGCAGGTGGAGGCGGAGGGCAGGTGGGGGCGGAGGGCAGGTGGGGGCGGAGGGCAGGTGGGCGCCGAGGGCAGGTGGGCGCCGAGGGCAGGTGGGGGCGGAGGGCAGGTGGCGCTGGGGGCAGGTGGGGGCGGAGGGCAGGTGGTGGTGGAGGGCAGGTGGGGGCGGAGGGCAGGTGGAGGCGGAGGGGCAGTAGAGGCGGAGGGCAGGTGGTAGTGGAGGGCAGGTGGGGGCGGAGGGCAGGTGGAGGTGGAGGGCAGGTGGGGGTGGAGGGGCAGGTGGAGGCAGAGGGCAGGTGGAGGCGGAGGGCAGGTGGGGGCGGAGGGCAGGTGGAGGCGGAGGGCAGGTGGTGGTGGAGGGGCAGGTGGTGCTGGGGGCAGGTGGGGGCGGAGGGCAGGTGGAGGTGGAGGGCAGGTGGGGGCGGAGGGCAGGTGGAGGTGGAGGGCAGGTGGGGGCGGAGGGGCTGGTGGCGCCGGGGGCAGGTGGGGGCGGAGGGCAGGTGGGGGCGGAGGGCAGGTGGAGGCGGAGGGCAGGTGGCGCCGGAGGGGCAGTGGGACTCGCTGAGCCCCCTCGGTCCCATCTTTCCACAGACGGCCGAGCTGCCCGCGGGGGCTCTGGGCCTCGCCTCGCCCCCCAGCTCAGCCCGAGCCTCTGCAGGTGCCCCCGCCTGCGCCCGCGGGATGTGCTCGCGGCCGGAGCCCCCAGCGCCCCTGGGCCGCGTGGCCGTGGTCGGGGGCACCCACGGCAACGAGATGTCGGGCGTCTGCCTGGCGCAGCACTGGCTGCGGGCCCCGGGGAGCTGCGCAGGCCCAGCTTCGCCGCGGTGCCCGTGCTGGCCAACCGCGACCTCAACCGCACCTTCACCGGCGCCTGCCTCACGTGAGTGTCCGGCGACACCCGTCCCTGCGCCAGGCGCCCAGCCGGTGACCGGCACCGAGCCCCACCCACACCCCCTCCAGCCACCAGCAGGGCAGCGCCTCTGCTTTCAAAGCCTGTTCTTCCCGTTCCGATCAGACAGAACAAGCCGATACAGCCTCCTCCCGGAAGCCCTCCTGGCCTCGGGCCTGGCCAGGGCCTCAGGCTGCATTCACTTTACTTTCTTTAATGGACATGCGCCGAGCCCCACCTCTGAGCCAGGCTCTGGCCAGCTCAGGGGAGAGGAGGGGGAGTGAAATGAGATGCTGTTCTCAGCTTCCTGGGGGAGACAGAGGAAGAACCCAGGCACCACAGCCCCGGAGGCTAAATGCAGGGCGGGGGCTGCAGAAACCCGACCGGGGTGGTCAGGAAGGCTTCCTGGAAGAGGTGTTATCTCACCACTCACGAGTCCACGTTAGCCGGTGGAGAGAGGAGGAAAGGGTTTCCGGGAAGGCCCAGCAGGAGCACAGGCCCAGCAGTGAGACCGGCTGGAAGTGTGGCTGGAGGCAGAGCCCGTGAGGCAGGTGGGCCGGGCCAGGCCGAGGGCTTGAACCTCAAGGGGGCGGTGGGGAGCCAACAAGAGCCCTGCGAGGGCAGGCACGCCCGGAGGACGGAGGACCGGCCCTGGAGCCGCCCAGTCGCTCCTGCAGGGACTCAGGGCTCCCCCCGCCCCATTAAACCTCTGGTGATTGGGACTGCGGGCGGTGACACCCCATCCCTGCCCCTGCAGGGCCAGGGCCCGCCCGGATGACCCATACGAGGTGACGAGGGCCCGAGAGCTGGACCAGCTGCTGGGGCCCAAGGCCTCGGGCCAGGCCTTCGACTTCGCCCTGGACCTGCACAACACCACGGCCAACGTGGGCACCTGCCTCATCGCCGAATCCGCCCGCTGCGCCTTTACCATGCACCTGTGCCGCCACCTGCAGGTGGCCCCGGCCGGGGGAGCAGAGGGGGCGGCGGGGGGGGGGGAGAGCTCGCTGGGACGGGCTTGGGGCAGGTGCCTCCTGGGCTCCGGGCCCAGGGCCCTGCCACCCTCCGGACCCCCCGCCCCTCCCCCCGCTGCTCTGTGCTTCCTCCGCTCCCCCTGGACTCAGTCTCCCGCCTGGGAGGCCTGGCCCTGACCCGCCTCCGCTCGCAGCTGCAGAGCCCGGAGCCGCCCTGCCGGGTCCTCCTGTGCCCGCTGCCGGGGGAGGAGAGCTCCAGCCTCATCTCCGTGGCCAGGAGCGGACTGGGTGGGCCCCGCGCGGGGCTGGGGGCGGGCCGGCTGGGCGGGGCCAGGTGAGGGGCGGGGCCAGGCGAGGGGCGGGGCCGGCGGGGCGGGGCCGGCGAGGGGCGGATCCGGTGAGGGCGGGGCTGGGGGTGGGCGGGGGGGGGCGGCGGGGCGGGGCTGGGTGAGGGGCGGGGCCGGCGGGGCGGGGCCAGGCGAGGGGCGGAGCCAGTGGGGCGGGGCTGGGGATGGGCTGGGGGGGCCGGTGGGGCGGGGCTGGGGATGGGCTGGGGGGGCCGGTGGGGCGGGGCTGGGTGAGGGGCGGGGCCGGCTGGGCGGGGCCAGGCGAGGGGCGGGGCCAGTGGGGCGGGGCTGGGGCGGGGACGGTGGGGCGGGGCTGGGTGAGGGGCGGGGGCGGTGGGGCGGGGCTGGGTGAGGGGCGGGGCCAGGCAAGGGCGGAGCCGGTGGGGCGGGGCCGGTGGGGGCGGGGCCGGGTCTCCGAGCACCTGCCTGACCCCTCCCGCGGCCCCAGGCCTGGAGCTGGGCCCCCAGCCTCAGGGGGTGCTGCGGGCTGACCTTCTGCTCAGGATGAGGGCGCTGGTGGCCGCGGCCCTGGACTTCATCCAGCTCTTCAACCAGGGTGAGCCGGACCCGCCGGGAACGGGGCCCTGGGAGGGGGCCTGGCCCGGGGCCGAGGACCAGGCTCTGGGGGCTGGGAGCCAGCCCTGAGCGGCCCCCACGCCCCACCCCGCCGGGGCCTGGGGGGTGGGCTCCCACACGCAGCCTCCCGCAGGCGCCGCCTTCCCTGCCTTCGAGATGGAAGCGTACAGAGCAGTGGGCGGCGTGGACTTCCCGCGCACGGAGGCCGGGGAGCTGGCAGGCACGGTGCACCCTCAGCTGCAGGTGTGTGCGCGCGTGTGAGTGTGTGCGTGTGAGTGTGTGAGTGCACACGCGCGTGTACATGTGTGTGTGAGTGTGTGTGCGAGTGTGCGCGCGTGCGTGTTGTCGGTGCAGCTCCTGGGTCACAGCTTTGGGAGGGGTCAGAAAACGGGCACAGCCCCCAGCACCCCGGAGTCCGGAGCGGGGGCCGTAGCCTGGGCCCTGCCCGCCCGCACTGCCTCGGGGGAGCCCGGCCACAGGGTGCTCACTGAGCCTGTGGGGGCCCCGGGGGAGACGCCTCCCCTGGCTGGAGGGGGCAGCCGGGCCCTGCTTGGAGGTGCGAATACAGAGCCCTGTTCCCAGTTAATTCCTCACGCTCCCCTGTGCGAGTTAGCAGGGAGCCCGGCCTCTCCCTCTGCAGGCCTCCCCTTCCCGAACATCCCGGGCCTGGGGGATCCTGCGTCCACCAGTCCACCCCGCAGGAAGAGGTAGGCAAGGGCAGCCAGCCAGCTGCCATTCTCCTTGCTGCCACACGGGGTCGCTGTGGAGCAAGGCCCACGCCCTCCGTGGCCTTTGCTTTCTGCAGTGCCCAGGCGCCTTAGCCTGGCCTCATTAGTAAGTGTTCCCCACCCCCATCTGGCCTTCAGGGGTGAGGGGGCCCTCAGCGGGGCCGCCTGCTCTGTGCACAGGCCCTCCTCACGGCACCCCAAGCTCAGCCAGACCCCTCCTCCATGCCGAGCCTCGGGGGCCTCTGCTGCCGGTGGGACCCGGGGAGCCCCCGCCGTGTCAGGGACCGGTCATTCCGGATCTCTGCCAGGATGGGTGTCCTCTCAGGGGGCGGCCCAGCACGCAGGCCTGGCACGCACTGAGAGCCTGGCAGGGCAGGGGCATGGCAGAGAGGGGAATACTGGGAAGAATCTGGTATTTCAGAAATCCTCCGAAGGACCGAAGTGACAACTGTGGGAAAGTCGGAAGCGGCCGGCCGTTTTTGTCCATTTCGGGGTTTTCCCTGTGGCCGCGCTGTGGGAGGGGCCCTCCTGCCTCCGGGCCCTGAGCCGCCCCCGTCTCCCGAGCTGAGTGGTAACAGTCACTTTGATTGATTCCTTCCACAACTTTAACTTAGCCAACTTTTATATGACGTTCCCTGACTGCAAAGTGCTCTGAGCCAGCTCTGTAAGCCTCGGTGACCGAGGGAGCGGAGGAGCGGGAGGTGAAGCCACTTGCTCCGGGCCACACCGCCAGCAAGACTGTGCCCCAGGGCGTCCCCCCCCTGTGACCGCAGGCACACCCCTCAGGACAGCCGCTCCCCAGGGTGGCTGGCGGCTCCTCCAGGGCACGGGGCCGCTGGCACCTCGTACACACCCTGTCACTGACCGGGCGGTGAGGAGAGAGTGGGCGAGGCCTAAGGGGGGGCGCCTCTGGTCAGTCCCCGTGGGGTCACCCCGGGGCCGGGCAGAGGTCAGCCCAGCCCTCGGCCTCGCTGTCCCCCCAGGACCGGGACTTCGAGCCGCTGCGGCCGGGAGCGCCCATCTTCCAGACGTTCGTTGGCGAGGACGTGCTGTACGAGGGGCAGGCCGCCCTGTACCCCGTGTTCGTCAACGAGGCCGCCTACTACGAGAAGGGCATCGCCTTCCTCCTGACCGAGAAGCTCACGCTGTCTGTGCCCGCCCTGCCCGCGCCGGCCCCAGCCCCCTAACCCCGGCCCCTAACCCCGGCCCCTAACCCTGGCCCCCCCGCCCGGCCCCCTAACCCCGGCCCCTAACCCTGGGCCCCCTGCCCGGCCCCCTAACCCCGGCCCCGCCCCCACCCCGGCCCCTAACCCCGGCCCCTAACCCCGCCCGACCCCCTAACCCCGGCCCCCCCGCCTGGCCCCCTAACCCCGGCCCCTAACCCCGGCCCCTAATCCCGGCCCCCTAACCCCGGCCCCCTAACCCTGCCCCCTAGCCCCGCCCCCACCCCGGCCCCTAACCCCGGCCCCTAACCCCGCCCGACCCCCTAACCCCGGCCCCCCCGCCTGGCCCCCTAACCCCGGCCCCCTAACCCCAGCCCCCTAACCCCGGCCCCCTAACCCCGGCCCCTAACCCCGGCCCCCCTGCCTGGCCCCCTAACCCCGGCCCCTAACCCCGGCCACCCCTGCCCTGCCCCTGCCCCAGCCTCCTAACCACGACCCCCCCGCCTGGCCCCCTAACTCGGGCCCCTAACCCCGGCCCCCTAACCCCGGCCCCTAACCCGGGCCACCCCACCCGGCCCCCTAACCCCGGCCCCTAACCCCGCCCGACCCCCTAACCCCAGCCCCCCCGCCTGGCCCCCTAACCCTGGCCCCTAACCCCGGCCCCTAACCCCGCCCGACCCCCTAACCCCAGCCCCCCCGCCTGGCCCCCTAACCCTGGCCCCTAACCCCGGCCACCCCACCCGGCCCCCCAACCCTGGCCCCTAACCCCGCCCGACCCCCTAACCCCGCACCCCGCCCAGCCCCAGGCCTCCTGCCTGAGGCGTGATTCCCACTCAGAGGCTCCCTTGCCACCTTCTGTATCCCATGACCCTTGCCACACACACCCACCTCCGTGCCTCAGTTTCCCATTCTATAAAGTGGAAGGCTCCAGGGGCCCGTCTGGTGTGGTGCCTCTCTGTGGCCTCAGGATCTGGGCAGGCCCGGCCCCATGTGGCCTCGGCCACGCTGTGTCCGTGGGCCCGTGGTCGCCGTCCGTGGGCCCGTGGTGTCCAGCGGAGGCCTAACCTGCGGGGAGCTCGGAGTGAGGCCGTCCTCGGACCAGCAAAGGGTCCGCAGCGCCCTGCACGCCCGCGGCCGGAGGGATGGCGAGGAGGCGGAGGCGTGTGCCCAATATGTGCCCACGTGTGTGGCGCCCGTGTGTGCGCCCGCCCGGGGCTGTGTGTGCACAGGAGTCTCCGAGCACCAGTGCGTGGCTGTCGGGAGGATCTGTATGTGGTGGGCGCACAGCCCCCGTGCCTTTCCAGGTGTGATGAGATGTGGGAGTCGGCTGGGCGAGGCGTGAGCTCGACCCAGTGCCGCACACAGGGAGGAGCCGGGCAGGAGCGTTACCGCCGGGCCCCGGGCCCTGGCCACGCTGTCCACGCAGGCACCTGGGCGGGGTGGACGCCCGGCGCAGCCCCCGGTGCCCGCCCTCTGAGCCGGCTGCCAGCGGCTGGAGAGCCAGCTCCGTGCCTCAGGCCGGCTCCCCGGCCCCCACTCCCGCGGCCCATCCGTCTCCCGGCGGCCACAGCCGCCAGCCGCTATTGAGCGGGAGATGAGAAGGTGTGAAGGATGGGGGGACGCGGGGGACGGGCTGGCAGGCGAGATGGATGAGGGGCCGGGGCCAGAGGCGCCTCCGGCAGGACAGCTGGCCGGCGGGAGGGGCTGCGCCGGGAGGGGGGTGTGCGTGTGTGCCCGGTGTGTGTGTGTGTGTGTGTGTGTGTGTGCGCGCGCGTGCGTGTGTGTGCCCGGTGTGTGTGTGTGTGTGCGTGTGCGCCTGGTGTGTGTGTGTGTGTGTGCGCCTGGTGTGTGTGTGTGTGTGCGCGTGTGTGTGCCTGGTGTATGTGTGTGTGTGCGTGTGCGCCTGGTGTGTGTGTGTGTGTGTGTGTGTGCCTGGTGTGTGTGTGTGTGTGCGCGCGTGTGTGTGCCTGGTGTATGTGTGTGTGTGCGTGTGCGCCTGGTGTGTGTGTGTGTGTGTGTGTGCGCGCACCTGCGTGTGTGTGTGTGTGTGTGCCTGGTGTGTGTGTGTGCCTGGTGTATGTGTGTGTGTGTGTGCGCGTGTGTGTGCCTGGTGTGTGTGTGTGTGTGCGTGTGTGTGTGCGCGCACGCATGTGTGTGTGTGTGTGTGCGTGCCCAGGGTGTGTGTGTGTGTGTGTGTGTGTGCCTGGTGTGTGTGCGTGTGTGTGTGTGTGCGCGCGCGCGCGCGTGTGTGTGTGCGTGCCCAGGGTGTGTGTGTGTGTGTGTGTGTGTGCCTGGTGTGTGTGCATGTGTGTGTGTGCGTGCCCAGGGTGTGTGTGTGTGTGTGTGTGCCTGGTGTGTGTGCATGTGTGTGTGTGTGCCCGGGGTGTGTGTGTGTGTGTGTGCCTGGTGTGTGTGTGTGTGTGTGTGTGTGTGTGTGTCTGGTGCGTGTGGGTGTGGGTGTGGGTGTGTGCCCGGTGTGTGCGTGTGTGTGTGCACGGGGGCGGGCGTGTGAGCGAGTGTCTGTGCACACAGGAGTTTGTGCACGTGGAAACCAGGATGGCGGCAGGTTGGCATCTATGTGCACGTGTGTTATATGGGTTGGCATGTCAGTGTGGTCATGTTCATGTGTGTGGGTGTTTCCCAACACGGATACCAAGGCGTATATAAGCACACACACACGCACACACATGCCAACAGAGCCCAGGCTGGCCCGCCCCCAGGTCCGGGCTGGCGCAGCTACCAGGTCCGCCCGTCATCACCCTCACCCCCCACTCCGCCCACTGCGGTCCTGGTCCGGGTGGGCCCTACCTCAGCGTGGCCTGGTGCCATGGGCTCGCCATCACAGCACAGAACTCCCGCCCACCCTGCCCGCAGCAAACCCAGGCCGGCTCGGTGTGCCAGGGGGATCGGGGCCTGGGGACCGAGTGCCTGAGCTGGGGGAGGGGGGGGGCCTGGGGACCGAGTGCCTGAGCTGGGGGGGGGGGGGCCTGAGGCTCGAGGCTCTGGGGGGGCAGCCGTCCATGTTGGCCCCTCTTAGGCCCGGGCCTCTGCCGTCCCACACCCCAGTGCCAGCCTCTGGAGGAAGGGGGGTGCTGGGGCGAGCTGGCCTGGGGAGCGTGCCCAGCCCAGCCTGGGTGCTCTGGCCTGGGGTTCTCCTGGCTGCTCCCTCCCAGTGGGCACCTGGGGTCCAGCCAGTGCCCCTTCCCGGGCCCCGTGGAAGGGACCAGCCGGCCAAACAGCACTCCCACGGGAGAGCAGCCAGCTTTGGGGGCCCACGCCCTCTGCCTTCCTGGCCAGTGACGGTGTCCCCGGAATGCCCAGCATGGGGCCAGCAGGGGGCAGCCTGGAGATGGTACCTGGTCTGGCTGGGAGAAGAGACAAAACCGTGGCCAGTGCAGACCGACCCCACATCCCCCGCCGCCCCCCATCCCCCAGGCCTCGCCCCAGCCCAGCCTCCCATCCTGTGCACTGTACAGGCCTCCGCAGCCAGGCTGGGGCCGGCTCCCGCCCATCCCAGGCAGGAGAGATTACGCTAAGGTGACCAGACGTCCCGCTTTTGGCAGGACAGTCCCGATTTTAAAAAAAACCGGGACTGTCCCGCCAAAAGCGGGACGTCTGGTCACCTTAGATTATGCACCTTGTACGATTGGGGAAACCGAGGCACAGGGCTCGCCAGGGACCTGCCAGTGCAGCGCAGCTCACTGGGCCAAACCGTGCGGCGCACCAGGCTCCCCCCGCCCACCGGGCTCTGTCTCTGCAGCGCCTGCTCCGTTTCCTGCCATCTTCCCCGTGGCTCCATCCGGAGGCCCCCGGTCAGGGGTCTGGTCTCTGCCCTGCAGCCCCAGCAGCGACCGCCACTGCCCCGGCCCCCCACCTCCCCGAGGCCCCATGGGCCCAGCCCTCCAGTCAGCCAGGCCTGGGCCCCACGGACGCCCAGCTCCTCCTCCAGACAGGCCCCCCGGTGCTGGCCATCGATCAGGAGTGGCGGGGGCTCCTGGCCGGGGAGGGAGGGGGCCGGGAGGGGAGAGGGCGGCTTTGCCACGTCAGAGCCTGCCACCTGCCCTCCCCGCACCGCGCCGCCCGGGGGGGACAAGCAGGCGGTGGCCTCAGACGGTGCGGCGTGCGGTGGCTCGGAGAAAGGGGTCGGAGCCGGGCCCCCTGCAGACCGGGTGTAAAACCAGGACAGTCCTGCCAGGAGACCGGAGACGGAGGGAGCACCTGAGAGCGGCCGTGCGCTGAGGGAACCAGGAGACCAGGAGGCGCCGACCACCCGCCACACCCCGCCCCGGTGGCCGGGCTGCTTCTGGACACAGGCGTCTCCATGGCAGGTACCGTGTGGGCAGCCCTGGGGCTTCCAGCTCTGGAGGGAGGGGCGGGGCAGGGGCCAAGGAAACCTCACTGGACCCAGGCCCGGGCCAGAGGGTGAGGCGGGCACCCCGGCTGTCCGGGCAGGGCTGATGGACGCCCTGCCATCCGGGTGCGATGATGGGGTCAGAGCCGCTTCTGGGAGCTGAGAGCCTCATCGGCAGGCGCCCTCGGGCCTGTCCCTCACCCCTCAGCACAAGGTCAGGGCTGGACAAGAAGCTGGGTGTGCAGACCGGACATGCCGCCCACCCCCGGGCTTCAGCGAGATGCCCCTCTCCAGCGTGGTCCCGGCCCCGCCCTCTCACCACGGCTTCCCCAGTGCCAGCTGTGGCCAGTTTGCCTCTTCAGACGCTCCCTCCACTCACCTGTCTGTCTGTCTGTCCATGCACCCGACACCGAAATTCTACCTCTGCTCAGGGGCTCCCCTGGTGTTTGTTACCAGGCCCTGGGCTCCTCCTGGGCGGCTGTCACTAACCACTTGTGCTTCAGGGTTTGTTTGTTTTTCTAGTTTGAACATTTTAATTGTGGGAAATGTACACAACATTGAAATGGCCGTTTTAAAACGCTCAGTTTAGGGGCAGCCGCCACCGCCATCATCTCCAGAACGCTCCGCGTCCGGTTACGCTAAACTGTCCCCTTACACCCTCCCTTCCCCTTCCCCCTCCCCCACTTTCTGTTTCCGAATTAGACTTCCTGTGAGAGGACTTGTACAGCATCTGTCCTTCTGTCTGGCTATTTCACTCAACATATGGCCTCAACTTCCTTCTTTTTAAAAATATCTCTCTCTATGCTTATTTCAGAGAGAAGGGGAGAGAGAAAGAGATATTGTAGAAACATCAGTGATCAGAGAGAATCCGCAATCGGCTGCCTCCTGCACACCCCGCACTGGGGATGGAGCCTGTGCCCTGGCCGGGAATCAGACAGCGGCCTCCCGGTTCCTAGGTCCAGCCCCCAGCCACTGCGCCACACTGGCTGGGCAGAGCCTCCTTCTCTGTAAGGCTGCAGCACAGTGCCGTGTCTGGACAGACCACGCTTTGCTTATCCGTGCACGGCGCCTGCGTTGCCTCCGCCACTGCCCGCTGTGGCCAGTGCTGCCGTGAGCACCGGCCGCGGCTCTGGGTTCCTCCCGGTGTGCGCCAGGAGCAAGGCGGTTGGGCCACGTGGGAATCCTGAGGTTCGTTTTGGGGGAACCACCGTTCCGTTGCCACGGCGACGGCACCGTCTCACAGTCCCACCGGCCGGCCCCGCGCCCTCACCAGCACATCATTCTGTCACTGCGATTGCCCTGCTGACCACCCTCCGTGTGGGCGCACACAGCCCATCGCTGTAGTCAGGGTGCTTGCTTGTTTGACCAGGAGGGTGGAGGGTGACACGGCTTTTGGCCAAGGCTGGTGCCAGGACTGCAGGTCGGAAGGCAGGATCTTGGGGGAAAGTAAGGGGCCGGGGCAGACAGCTGGCTCCGGGGCGGGGTTTCCGGGTCGGAGGCG